GAAAAGTCTAAATGGTGTTGAGCTGGAAACAATGTAAAAATGAGTGAAAAAAATAATGCGATTGTTGGTCAGATGGAACAACCTTAATCTTGAGCTCTGCTTCATTACCGAAGCTTACACCGACAATGCTCCGCTGAACACTGCCAGCTCCTTCTAACTCAGCAAAGATTTACTTTCTCTGGCTTAACTTCCACACATGATTAAGTTAGTATTCTAATAGAGAAAATGTCTTTCTCAATTACTTCTTGATGAGGTTTCATCTAACCAAAAAATTGAAATTTATTCACCGTAGGTATTAAAATCAGATTTAGGCTATAGTTCCAAGCTTCATATCCCGGTATGCACCTTTTCTTATGGCTATTTCTTATTAATATGTACTTTTTTGATTATTTCTCAATGCGTTTGTGCCACAACTTGGCACATATATGAGTAAGATATTGGTAAAATTTGGACTTCTTTCTTCATAATTCTATGAAAAGTTTTTGCTCAACGGAGACAACTTAGATGTATAGATTCTTACAATGGATGATTGAAAATCTCTAGAGGAACATTGAACCAAGCTATCACTCTTCTCCCACAAGTAACCGGGAGTGTGCAATATATATAAGCAGCAAAATACAGTGGGAATAACTGCGTTTCGATTAAAACTATTGACAACGTCTACTGCTATGCAGACATTAGTTTAAAAATAACCACATAGTAAGTAGGTTTACTCCTCTGACCGAACACATAGTTTAATGTGAAAGTTTCATAATAATCAGCAAGAAAGAACCTCTAATAATGAAGAGTGTTTTTAAAATTTTCGTCCTTGCCCATTCTCATTATGAATCTCTTCGAACTACGTTATCTATCATTTACTGATTCTAACTTTTCCTGTCCCTTTAGCTATTTACAGTTAAGCAGTTTGGATTCTCTGAAAGTAATATGTGGGCGAGTCTCATGACACCAACTTGTTTGCAATTTCTAAGAAACATCTTCCATACGACACTTAAAGGATGAATCTAAAAAAATTTCTTTCAAAATCGATAACTCGTTGTAAACTGCTACAATGAAGGTTTTGAGTTATATCATTAGATTTATTGTAAAGTGTGAGCCCGATCTCGAATCACTGTTAGACGGAGTAAAACGCGAAGCCGAAAATATACATACTATAAGTACTTTTTT